GCTGTACCGGTATTTGGCAATAATTCAACAATTATTATGCTTAAGCAAAATTTAATTTCATCAAACAAATATTAGTCAACTTCGTCATTACGAATTCAAATGGCTGGAGATATTCGATACTGAAGAATTTCGCTTTGAATCGATTTCCAGCAAAAATGTTTCCATTGGTTCCTGAACAGATAAGATTACTGTAGGGTCAGAGCTTGTAGCGGTGAATAGTACCTTTACACCCTTGACCTTGATCTTTCCCCGGCTATGTACTCGATATCCACCACGTCGAAGCAGTTCGCCCATTTGTGGGGTCATCTGAATTTTCGTCGTCTAGTAAACCGCGCTCTAGCGCCAATTCATGCTGCAAAGCAACTCACATGTATTTTTCTAGGTTCACCATGAGTATCCATTCGACTAGCTAGGTTTACGGTATTTCCCCAGATATCATACTGTGGTTTCTGTGCTCCTATCACTCCAGCAACTAGTGGGCCTACACTCATGCCTGAAACGAGTTGTATTAAGAAGGCGAGAACTGGTCTCCAATAGTGCTTTATAGCGATATAAAGACAGTTGCTCACCTATTCGCAATTCAAAGTTCTGGAATGAATCACGATTCAATTGATCCAAAATTTGTGACATTGCGAGCGCAAATTCGATCATCATTGTCGCGTTACGATACATTTTCATATTCTGTAATTGCACCAATTTTCAGGACTCATCGCTCACTTGTCAAGAAAAGTGCAGAGATGCGACATGAGCACAGTTCTTACGCAGTGCCATGCCGTTTCAGATTCTTGCCGGGTTTTGATCCCCGATGTTTTTTTCAGATTTGTTCCTTGCAAGCGACTGAAAAAGATTAGAGCGCTTACCAGATTTCCTTTTTGCGAATTAACTGTGTTATTCGTGTTGTTGTTGTTCGAATTGTTATTGTTTACTACAGCTGTGCCGTTGGAATTGCCATTCTTGCAGCAATCATCTGCGAATTCCTGAAAAGGAATTTGCATGGGTCTCAAGGATATTTTGTCAACATATCGGTCAAATTTTTGACTTTAATCAATCGTTTAATTCAAGTTTCTATACAAATTAAATGTCAATAGTTCTCTTACAGATACTCAAAAAAATATAACAGTCTGTGTACCTACCATGAGACTCACATCATCAAATTCTCCGTCCATCTCATTTAGCCCTGAAGCAGCCATATAGGTACTGGCAACTGTCTTGATCTTCTCGATTGACGAGAATTTCGGTTTGGAAA